AAGAGCATATCAAAGAAGAAGACCTACTGTGACTCTATCATCTGCCACATGTTCAAAGTACTACATGAGTGAACAGGATACTTCAACAGCTCCTCTCAGGCTGATGAAAACGCCCATGGAGGCGGAGGAGCCACGATGCAGGGTGGGAGGTGCGTCGGTCCATGGGCAGTGCCCATGTGGGCGTCCTCCAGATGAACACCACCCACTGTAGCTTCCTGGGCGCCTGCAAGGCCCACAGACAAGGTCAGTTTTTGAGAACTCTACAAGCCTCATGTTACCTGTCTCAAGCAAGAGTCAACGTTCCCTACATTTTTTTTAAGGTCAATTTCCATAAGAAACATCCTTCAGACGCCCCTCCTTGTTCGGTGTCCTGTTCACATTCCAACATTCCGTATTCCATAAAAAGTAACAAGGTAACAAAACACTTTTTGCCCAGGAGAGCTGATAAATCTGCCTATGGGCCTTAAATCAAACACCCCTAACAGCTGCCCTACATTTGTACTTTCAGTTACAGGAGTCAGTCAGTATCTTTACTCACCCAGTCTGTCTGAAGGTGTTTGATTTGTTCGGTTGCTTGTTTAAAACGCAAGCATTGTAGCCCTGGCTGGGTGGCGAGTTTGGTTAGAGAATTGCCCTGATACTCTAAGGTTGTGGGTTTGATTCCCAGGCAGGGCACATACAAGAAGCAACCAAAGGACGTATGGATATGTAGGGAGAAACTTGCCATAGTGGGCCTTCTTTGCAGAAAACTGGAGGCCAGGGTGTGTCCATGTCTTTGGCACTGGGTAGAAGTGAGGGATCTGGGTCACCAGCATTGGTCCCTGGCCAGCAAATGTCCACCCCAGAGGAGGTGTCAGACTGGCGGAGCTGAGGGGCTCTGCAGGGCCCGCAGTTCAGGCTCACCGAGCAACCTCTAGCATCACTTTGTTTGCCGAGTGCTTTCCTCCTGGGAGACAACGCATGAACCTCCCACGGCAAGCATCTTGGTCATGCAGTGGTCGGGCTTGTCCTGCAAATAAACCTTAGAACCTGCTTCATTGGGCAGTCTCCTGTGCGTGCTAGTTATTGTGGTCAGTCTGATCAAACCCGCCCATCACTGGGGAACCCAGCAACTCCAGTTGCTGGACCCACACGGTTCTGGTCCACACCCTGCACTGCCCCCGAGTTTGAGCTCTGGTGCCCCAGACACGACTGAGAAATAGACACCACAGCCATGTCGAGAGCCATGGCCCCCACTCAGGTGTTAGTCTTCCTTATTCATCCACCCATCTATTATCCAGTGTTTACTGGGCATCAAGTGAGAAGTATTTTGACTGCAAGTGTCAGAAGCCCGACTCCAACTGAAGCCAAAAATGAATTTATTGGCTCATGTAATTGGGGTAGACCACAGGCTAAAAGGAAAAACTACTGACATCAGGACTTTGACACCTGGCACCAAATCTCTCTCACCAAGACGGTCTTCACCACCTGTCATCTCTCCATGTGGTGGGGAAAATACACTGACTGCCACCAACTCATACTGTCCTAGTTTAGCACCCAAGTGGAGCAAAGAACTCCCTCCCTACACCTACATAGCAGTCCCTGGTTGGTTACATGCCCACCGCGGGCCTCTGGGGCAGGGTGCTCCTGACAGAGGAGGGAGCTGGGAAAGCCTGTGAGTGGAAAAGACTCAAAAGCAATCCCAACTGGTGGCATGGAGGCAGCATGATTCAGATTCGAGCAGCTCCCAGCCTGGCAGGGGAGATGACTGCAGGGCTGGCTAATTGCCATGATGGCGGGAAAGGGGCTGGGAGGCTGAGGCGACAGTGCCCAACTGTGCCAGGGAAGCCTTTGCAGAGGAGGGGCAGAGGGGAGGTGGCACCTGCTTCCCTTCTTCTGTGTCCCACTCTTAGTACATGTGGGGCTGACCTCACGCCTTGCTGCCGAGGTGGGGACAGGGCTCTGGCCAGGCCAGCGAGAGTGGTTGCTAGAATGATTAGGAAAGAAGGACTCCCCAAACAAGAGGAGCAGCTGGGAGTGGCCATCTCCCCCATCTCCCCTGGTCACACAGCCTGTGTGAAGAAGCCAGCAGGGACGAAATCGGAGTAAAGGGTGGGAGAGTGAAATCAGTTCTTTTTACTTTTCAGTTACATTCAACATTACTCCGTATTAGTTTCAGATGGACAGCATAGTGGTTAGACAATCGTGTATTTTACAGGGTGGTCTCCCTGATACTTCAAGTACCCACCAGGCCTCATGCATAGTCATTATGCTATTGACCATACTCCCTGTGCCGTCATTTACATCTCTGCGACTGTTCCATAACTACCAATTCGTGCTCTTAATCCCTTTGCCTTCTTCACCCAGCTCCCCCCCTCCCCTTTGTGAACCATCAGTCTGTTCTCTGTATCCATGAGTCTGTTTCTATTTCCATTGCTTATTTTGTTCTTTAAATTCCATGTACATGTGAAATCATATGGTAGATTGGTTCTTTATTTCTTTATTTTTAGAGAGGGGAAGGGAGAGAGAGAAACATCCATGTGTGGTTGCCTCTTACATGCCCCCTACTGGGGACCTGGCCCACAACCCAGGCATGTGCCCTGACCAGAGATTGAACTGGCAACCCTTTGGTTCGCAGGCCAGTACTCAATCCACTGAGCCACACCAACTAGGGCTGTGAGATTGGTTCTTGATGATATCTTATGACACCCAATTTTTCAGTTATGTGACATCTGAATACACAAATGACCTCTTTGTGCATCAAGTCTACTTGAGCTGGGGTTTTATATCTTGAAACAGGAGGTCTTGCATGTCATGAGGGGCATGTTGATCTGGATCTGGAAAGCTGAGAGGCATTTGCTGGAATATTCGTAAAAGAACAGGACGTGCACGAGCAGGGCCACCATTGGTACCCTCTCTGAGGCCACCCCCAATCCACCCAAATGAGTCCAAATAAGCCTGCCCCATGCCCCACACTGTTGTGCACACAGCTCTGCATCGTTTGTGTCCTCTCCTCTTGGCTCTGGACTTGGCTGTGATGGTATGATTGATAGACTCCAAAAGTGACATTCTTTGGAAGGTTTAGAAGCTTCCACTTCCTCCCTCCTGGAGCCCTAGTTTGCCATGTAAGATGTCCAGGATCACCCGCTGGGGGGAGAACCCACAAAGAAAAGTGGAGGATGAGATGCCGCACAGAGAGAGGCCTCACAGACACCCAGCCTCCAGCCACCATCTCACTAGAGGCTTGAGAGATCCCAGATGAGACCAGCAGAACTGTCCAGCCAGGCACTAGAATTATGAGATATAGTAAACTTGTTTTATGCTGCTAAATTTTCTGTTATGCAGCTGGACTACCCCTCCTCTAATTACAAAAAGTAGCTTTCTCTGGTCAGATGAACTACAAACAGATACCCCTCTCTTCGGGTGGGAGCCACAGGTTGCCAGGACACAGCCCTCACACAAGGGCAGAGGCCCAGCTGGAGGTACTGCACAAGCCACATGACCCCACAGCCCCTGGGGGCCGGGGATGTGGGGGGTGCCCACAGGCAGCCATCAGTCTGCACTTTCTCTCCTCAGCCCCTTATCCCTGCTGGGCTTCCATGCTGCCCTCCTGCGGCACTGGAGGGTTGGGCTGTCTTGTTGAGTTTTTGGCAAAGGGCAGGCAATGACCTTGCTAGGGCCATGCTGGGGAGAAACAAGCTCTGAACGCAAGGAGCTTTTGTCCCTCCATCTTTTCCTTGTCCTTCCAGCCCTCCATTGCTGCTGAAGCCACCCATATCCCGAGCACTCTCACCCAACAGCCTTCCAGCAAGGGCTGTCTCACTTTGTTGTTGCTGTTAATTACTGGAACCAGTTCACTCTCATTTCTTCAGGGCTGACATTTCAGGAAGGAGCCCCGCCTGGTTTGCCATGCGGGTGAGCAGACCTACGCTACTTCTTTTCCTTCGGGCTGTGCTTGTACTCTGGTATGTCAAATAGGCTTCAAGTCTGCAGGCGTTTCTCTTGCCCTAGACTATGTGAGCTTGCCCAGGATAGGGGAGGGCTGCAGGCACCTCCCAGCCCAGGCCCCAGCCCACCCAGGTGCTCACACCCTCTGCAGCCTGCCCTTCTTCCTCTGCGCGCCTCCAGTCACCACTCGAATAGGACACTGAATGCCACCGTGACTCGGATCCCACCACCAGAACTGTTCCTCAATTCACGGGACCGAATGACTATTAATGGACCGACACGGGCCATTAGGTAACTTTTTTTCTGCCTATGTCAGGCGGGAAGAATCGAGCAACTGTTGACAACTGAATAACATCTGGTCTTTAAGACAAATTAAGATACTGGCTAAGGTCAAAACTCTGAGAGCTTGTCCGTATTTCCACATGATTGACAGGCAAAACTAAGGGAAGGAAGACCAAGGAAATAGACGGAAGAGAGGAGACGAAAGTGAACAGCTCAAGACAAATAAAAGAGAGCGGGATGCAAAAACAGAGGAACGTCGAAAAGCGGAGAAACGAGAAGACTGGCAGGACCGGAGCCAGGAGAGCGGGAAGCGGAGCGGCGGGCGGGCCCGCAACGCGCCGGGCGGGCGTACCACCCCAGCGCGGGGGTGAGGGCAGGAGTTGGGGGACGGCGTGAGAGGCGCGACCCCTCGGCGTCGAATGGTCGCGCCCGGAGGCGGCGACCAATGGGCGGCCGGGATGTTGGAAGGGCGGCGGCGGGGGGGCACTAGCTGGCTGGGGGACGGCGGCCGCCGCCATGATGCTTGTTTGCTTTCAATGAAAGCGAGGGGGGCGCGGAGGAGGAGGCGGCGGCGTCGGTGGCGGCGGCGTCGGCGGCGGGGAGGCGAAGGCGGCGGCGGGCGCAGCGAGGGGGGCGAGGCCGGCTGTCGAGAGAGCGGGAGGGCGTAGCGTCGGCCCGCCAGGGCTGCTGCGGCGAGCGACGGAGGAGGTGGCGCTCGGAGGGGGAACAAAGAACGGCGGCTGAGGCGACGCGGAGCGGCGGCGGCGGCGCTGCAGCAGCGGGCGGGACTGGTATGGTGGTTCCACAGGTCAGACCCCGCTGCACTCACAGGGAGGAGGCGGCAGCGGCGGAGGCGGGCGGCGCACCCCTGGAGGTGAGCGAGCCGGCCCGGGGCCCGCGGGGCTGCTCCCGCACTGGCCGCGCTCGGCCGTGTCCCCATCGCGCGCGCGCGGCCAGGGCGTCTCGCGCTCGGACGGCGGCGGGCTGGCAGACGGGCCGAGCCGGCGGCTGTTGGGGGGCCCACGACGCGCCGTGGTCGCCACCCCGCCGGGGACCGGGGTGGCGTGGGGGGCGGGTCGGGGGGCGCCGTGGCCCTGGGGCCCAGCGCGGGTCCAGGGCCGGGCCGAGGCGAGCCGGTGTCCGGGACTCGCGGCCGGGACGGGGGCTCCTGGGAGGAGTGGCCGTGTGTGCGGGCCGCGCAGTGTGGGCCGCGGTGGTTGCCGCCGAGCGGAAAACCCGCGGCTGCACCCCCTCCCCCCGAGTGCTTAAAATTCGGTTTAACGCCGGTTTTGGGGGGCGGGGTTGGCATGGCTCACGGAGTGCTCGGAAGTGCGCCGAGGAAAGTGGTCGCGGAGCGGCCTGCCGGCGCGACGGGGTTTCCCCCGGTGCCCGAGGCGCAGGTGTTTCTTCCCGAAAGCCGGTCGACGTCTCCAGAGACGGTCCCCCCCGGCCCCGGTCCCCCGCCGGCCGGCCCGGCGCGGAGCTGGCGTCGTTTCAAGAAACTGCTGGACTCGGAGTTTCCATAGTTACGTGCGGGCCGGACGCCTGGTCCTGGTGGTCCTCGTGCGAGTCGCCGACGTGCCTTTGCTGGGGGTGCGTGTCGGGAGGCCCAGGGTAAACCCGAGCGGATGGAGGGCGGCGCGGGCGCGGCCACCGGTCGGGAGGCTCGGAAGACTTTGTTTGTTTTTGTACTCGATGTCAGCAGTCGATCGTGGTCTTCAGGACGTGTGTGTGACTTGGAGTAAAAGTTGCTCGGTGTTTCTGGACCAGTGACCTAGACCAGGCCGCTTGCTCTGAACGGAGCGTCTGAGTAGCTGCTGACGAGGAGGCGGAGGCCTGGGAGGGCGGCGAGGACTCGCCTGGGCCGCCGTAGCCAGGGCGGCAGGGCCGGGTGTGCCGGGAACCTGGGAGCCGCTGGAGTGCGGTGCGGTTGTTGGGGCGACAGCTCTGGGGGGGCGGAGGGTGACTGACTGACTGACTGATGGATTGATTGGTTCGATGGAGGAGGGGAAGGAGAGGAGCATCATCTCGCTGCCCCCTGTGCCCTGAGAGGGCGCTCCGGGCAGCGGGGGGGGGGGGGGGGGGGGGGCGGGCGGCCCGGTGGTCGGCTCCGGTCACGTGTCAGCAGGTGGACGGGACACTGTGCAGTCGCCAAAACCGAGACTGTGACAGAAGACAGGTTTTCTTTCGAGACTCAGAGTCACTATGAATGGCGGTCTTAACGGTTTCACGAGCGTCTAGATACGTGGGAATGTAGATGGCGACGGTCTTCTGAAGGCATGTTTGATTCGTAGGTGTTTGGGGGTTTCTTAAATCTTGGTGGCAAAGTAAGGTTATTGGGAAATTTGAGACTGTTTCCTTTTGAACAGACGTGAAGGCGTTCACAGAACTCGGTCCTGACTACAAATAAAAGCGTTGTAAGAATCTAACTGCTATGCTTGTGGCTTATAAAGGCGCGTTTTGGTTAATGCTTAGGTATCTTGCCATGCCCAAATTAGCCTTCTTACATGTTTTTAAAGATTTTATTTTTTAGAGAGGGGAAGGGAGAAGGAGAGGAAGAGAAACATGTGTGGTTGCCTCTCGCGCGCCCCCTACTGGGGATCTGGCCCTTAACCCAGGCATGTGCCCTGACTGGGAATGGCACCAGTGACCCTTCGGTTCACAGGACAGTGCTCAGTCCCCTGAGCCACACCAGCCTGGGCGCTTCTATTTCAAGCATAAGCCTTTCTCCCACGGTGCAACAGAGGGAGGGCGCGTGTAGGGCACACGGGACTAAAGGGATGACAGGGCCACGGCTGTGGGGAGTGAGGAGACCAGTGTCTTCATTTCGCACACTTGGGACTCTCCCGGGTGCGAGTGCACCGGTGCAGAGACTCTGCTGTTGAAATGTTTATCACTTTGGGAAAAGTAATAAATATTAGTGAACCAAATAGGTTCAGCTAAGAACGCATTTTAGTGGAGAAGAGACTTGGATTTGTGGATATGTAACGCTGTTATTTACGCGTTTGTGATTGGAACTTAATGTTTGGGAGAAGTTCTAATTTTAATTGTCATATCCTTAGCTTCCATGAAATCTTTTACTGATGCAGTTTTATTTAACCTGCCACTCACTTTAGGAAGGTAGCCATTTTACGACAAAGTGTGATTAATAAAATACTGTGTGAAATTTTAAAATGCTGTATAAATTAAACTGTAAAACTTATTGTATGCATAGCCTGTGTGCATCAGAGTACAATGGAATGCACTGTATTTTATTATTTTAACTAGTAATTAAAGAGGAGAAAGTTATTTGCATCCAAGATGGGGACTCATTGAGGCTCCCTTAACTTTGCTGCTCTCTGGGCTTTTACTTCTCCCTAAATATCCCTTTATATCTTCTTGCTAAGTTACATATGAAGGAATAGTGTATATGGGGTTGATACTCAGGTTTCTGCCTTGCAGTTATAGTCTTAGGTGTACAAAGTTCTGTGGAAGAAGAATGAATGATTAAATTTGTGGAAGGTGTGCAAGCAGTTTATGGAAAATAACACAGAAGAGAAAATAACACAAACTGGGGAGAGCTCATTTCAAACGGAGGGGGAACAGTGGGCCGTTGGGGCACCACACACTGGAGTGAGGCCAGAGGATGGTGATAGTGTGGAGAGTGGCTGGACATGAACCTGCAAAGTTGTCTCCACCCTAGGTTTTGAAGGACTTTGCTTGGTAAGCTAAAAGTGAGGTTTATATCTTTATCCTGTAGCACAGGAGGGAGCCAAAATATTTTTAGTAGGGGAATAAGGTGATTTAGAGATCACTTTGGCATTAGTGTGGAGGACCATGTGGAGGCTCTACATACAAAAATGTCACACAGAGTTAATGACTTGGAATCTATTTTAACCTGGATACAGTGTCTTGTGGTCCCTTTTACAGTAGACTGGAGGGCTCTGCCCAATTGCTCTATACTGCAGAGAAATTTAAGATGAAAATGCCAGGATGTTTTTGGAAGAAGTTAAAAGCAGTCAAAACAATGAAACCCATAGAATGGTACACATGAAAGTTCAGGTGTTGAGGACTTCTGAGTTAGGCCTAGGCAAGCTGTAGACCTTAGGGTGGAAAAATCAACCCTCTGCTCACCAGGAGTGAGAGCTACCAAGCCTAAAGGTTCTCATTACCCCTCTAGTCAGTTGGGATATGAACTGTAAACATTTTGTGCAATTTGGAGTGGGGGGTGGGGAAGTTTTTCCCCAGTAAATTACTGGAATTAAAATACTGAAACTTCCTTAAAGCCTAAGAATTCTGTACAGTTGAATCTGCTGCAAAGCAACATAGGTTCCTAAATATTGTTATGGTATGAAAAAATTGTGCAGGAAAACTGCAGGTCTTATAGGGGAAAATGGGATTGGGGCCCAACACTCGAACAGCTTTGTCAGTGACTTGTTTTTAAAAAGGGAACCTGATAAAAATGGTGGCGCAGTTTCGCATGCTACATAGTGAAGCAGTATGTAAACACTACAGTAAATGTGACACTTTCCCTTGAAAAAAACGTGGATGCTTGTGGGAATGGTTATAAGAATGTTTGCTGCTTGTGAGTTACTGTGAAGAGAGAGAAGTTTATCTGAACCCAGGTGGAATGTTACATCAACAACAGATGTGGGTAAGCGTGTCTCTCTCTCTCTCTCTCTCTGTCTCACACACACACACACACACACACACAGTGAACTGATATAGTTGGTAGGTGTTTGAGGTCTCTGTTGTGTGTGTGTGTGTGTGTGTGTGTGCAGCCCAGTTCATTGGGTTGTAGTTTTCTACCTTTACCTAGTGTTTTTCACAGACCAGTAGTTGGGAATTCGGTGTTATGTGTGGTTTCCCTGATTTATCAGTCACATTGAAGCAAATTTACATTTTCAGAATGAGCAATATAGCAGACCTAATTATATTTGAACACAGCATTTTAAAATAGTGCTGTAAAACTCCATTCCAAAAATACTTGAACACTTTTGTGTCAGGTGTTGTGTAGATTTACTACCCTTAGGAAGCTTATTGTCTTTGTCCCAAGTGGGTTAATAATGATTATAGAGACAAGGACAAATGAACCAATAAAGGCTGTGTAGTAACAAGGAATATACAAAGTTTGGGGCAAGCTAAAGAAAGAGCAACTAACTTCTGATTAGGACACTTGAAGAAGTTGACTCAGAGGTCTTTGAGCTGAGTTTGGAAGGGTGAATAGGTTTGTCAGACTGGGTAGGGCATTTCAGGTGAAAGGAACAGCATGTGCAAAGTCCTGTTATGTACAACTTTGACTGTGAAACCTAGGATGCAAGGATGTGGGACGGGGAGAGTGGGTCAGAAATGGTTTGTAAATATTCAGGGTTTTTCTTAATGTGTTGGGGCTTCCATATGTATTTGATGGGGATCCATTTAGAGTTTAGATGGGTAGGGGTGGGGAAATTGTGTGTTTGACACTTTCTTTAGAAGACACAGGAGAAATGCGGAGGCTACAATGGAAGGAGTCTAGATACTGGAGTCAGAGAATTCATTTTAGTCCCTGTGAGAGATCAAGGCCATGAGCATAAGAGGTAGAAAAGCATAGGATAGATATGAAAGATACCAGAATTAGGGGCAGATAAGCAGTGAGCTGATAGAGTAGGAAGGAGATGATAGGATTCAGAAGTTATTTAGCTTAGGGAACTATTCATGTAATTTCATGTGGAATATAGTAGACCGAGAGCAGATTTGGCAAGGACAGTGGAATGGTTTGATTTTTTCAAGTTGGATGTGACTATTGGAAATTTATGTGGATATGTCTGATAGGTATCTGGACCAAAGGTGGTTGGTACTTTATACATTTGACCATTGAATAGTTGGCATTGGGAGTTAGGAGATCATTCAGAGAGA